TCTGGAACAAATTCCAACACCCTTGAGCTTTCACCAGGTCCCCATTCCGGCAACGCAGGCCTCCGGGGACTCCAGTTATGACCTTCCGGCCTTGGCGGACTTTTTCCGCATACTGCTTGAGCGCTTTCTGTGAGCGACTCATCTGCCGTCCCGTCTGATCCACTAGGTGTTCTGACATGCACCTGGGATTTGAGCCGCAGCTCCGGGATCTTGACCTTCCGGCCTTTTACTTTCTCAATGCGCCCTAAGGCTTTGGCCTCCCAGCCTTTGTATGGAGATGTCCGACTTCCCATCAGTCGCTCACCTGGCGATGGGCTTTTCCGCTTGGGTCGCTGCTTGCCAGCAACCTTCCAGTCTTCCTCTGGAATGGTTGGCATGGGCAGCTCTGACGGACTTGGGGCCCTCACGGCCGGCGCCACTTGTTGGGCGCTTTTCTCCTCTGCCTCCTGTGCCCGCTGCTTCTGCTTCAGGAGACGGTTGCTCAACGCCTTGATGTGGTCTTTGGCGGAGGTTTTGGCTTCTTCTGTCTCGCGGCTCTGCTGCTTCGCCTTCTTCATGGCCACCTCTTTTTCTCGAGCTTCTTTCTTGGCCTTGTTGACGGCGATCTCCAGTGAGGCGATTCTCTCAGCGGTCTCTTCATCCCGCTTTGCCCTCGCCTTCTGGGCCGCAGCATCCACCACTTGCTCCAAGAGCTCCATGATACCAGGGGTCTGCAGCAACGCCGCCATGGTCCAGCCTTGTCCTCCCGGACTTGTTCTCGTCCTTGCCCATCCCGGGCTTTACTATCACCAACAGAGGTCGGCGTCCCCTCCCGGGGTGTTCCCATCTCTCCCGACGCATCGGGGGTACCCTTACGGACAGATGTGTCCGATTCCTCGGCCTCCATGGAGGAGACCGGGGAGGGAACCCGTCGCTCCGAGCTTGCTCATCCGCCCAGGCGGAAGCGTGGTCGCCACCCTCAGGTGGCTCCGAAACCAAATGATACGAAAAGTCTGTGGGTGTGGGGTTCCTGCCCTCTTTGAGCCGCGGACCCACCTCGCCGGGCACCTAGGTCCTTACAGGGCACCTAGGCGGGACCACCCCTCCTACTCCCATATCCATATATAGTATAATGGTTACCGTGGGATAAGGAATACTATACGATCTTGGGCAGGGCGTCCCCCACACCAAGGGCCATTAGTAGGGCGTCCCCCACATCAGGCCGGTGCGCGTAACACAACCATCGTCAATCGACAGGAGGCCCCTGGCCACGGGCCCCCAGCCTATGGAGTCTCTCTGACTACTCTCTTCGCCTTTCGGTCCCGGTTCGAAGTGGCTCCGAAACCAATGTAGCGCGCGGTGGCGCCAAGAGGGGAAAAGAACCCCAGACCAGACTCCAAGACCCATTAAGTACTGCACCCATCTCTCGCAGTACACCGGCTGGCGACCGGCGGGTCACTCTGATCCCTGATGACTCATCCACTGCTGGACAATCCTGTTACAGTGCCAAGTACTCCAGTACTGTGGCCTGCCTGATATTCCCAAGGATGGGATAGTTTAGAGATGCCGTTGCCGATCCAGGCACTCTCTTGGTAAAGTACTGGTAAAGTAATGATAATATATACTGTAAAGGCGGTGCGCATTACACTCGCCGAGCTTATGCCCAATCATACCACTATCCGTGTCTTCCACAGTTGGCCTAACATATAGACTGGTTTGACAGCGTCTGATACTATTAACAATATCCCGATATGTCATCACTCTCTACCTACATCTGCATCCCCCTTGCAATATCCATGGGACCCCCCTTCTGGGCCACCATGTCGGCCACCCCCCATTGCCCTCGTGACCGTGCCCCAGGCTCCGAGCCAGCGTGTTTCTGTCCCCGTGGCTCCGCCGCAAACCACCATCAGACAGATCGGCGGGCAGCCCGTGCTCCATAAACCCACCGGTTTGGATTGCTTGGGTCGTCCCCGTGTGCCGTGCGCGAGCATTGTTGTGCACCACTGCGACCCACCCCCTAGAGGTGGCCACCCGGATCCGTTAATAGCGGACAGAGGTTAATTTCCGTTAATTTTCCGTTAATTAACGGAAAATAACGAAAAAAGACAAAAATTAACCAAAAATTAACGGATTTTTGGATTTTTGGGGATTTTTGGGTTTTAGTCATACTTATAGTTTATGGAATTCGCTATTAGAGAGTATGTTTGTATTTTATTTCAACCTATGCATACTAGATTTTCAACTAGCCGCAGTTGTTGTGATTTTTTGGGTTTTTTTCGTTTTTTTTAGATTTTTTTCGTTTTTTCTGAATTTTTCTCCCTTTTCCTTTAACGGAATTTAACGGACAGCTGATAAAAATTAACGAACCGGACTTAACGGACCAGATGGCATCTTTGAGTGGCCACCTCTACCCCCGAGGGGTGGCGCCCGCAGGGCATGCCTAAGACCACCGGAGGCAGTGAGCGAGGCAACTGGAACAAATTCATTACAATCAGATGGCACATTTACTATATACAACCAAATTAAGCTTTAATACTTGGTGGGCCCATTTTAACACCATGTCAGGCAATGAATACACCCTAAATCCCCAAAATTCTGAAACATTTGCAAAGCATATGGCAAAAGCTAGTATCCCAGACAATGTCTCCATATCTTTGGGAATTAAAGAGAGAATGAAATCTACCCAATTCCTCCCAAAGGATTGGTCCCGACAACAACATATTGTGATCCAAAAAATACAACAAAAAGACTTTATAGTAAGCAAAATCACAACAAGCCTTCAGGCCACCGAGCCCCATCGCCCCGGGTCCTGGCCATTCAAAGTGGGGGCAAAAACACGCTGCCCCTTTCGAATGGAAACCACGTGGACAGAATGAAAGGCCAAGGGGGGGCGGTTCAATTCCTTCAGCGGGAAAGGGCCAGGCCTACACGTATTGTGGCCCCGTCGGCAGCCGCTGGTTTCCGGAGTCGTGGGGGTCGCCCTGCCCTGCAGCACAGCCGTTGGAGGTCGGTTGGCCTCTCCACCTCGGACGGTGGGCGTAATCGGGGCAGTCGATTGTAGAGTCGCGCGGTGGGCCCAATGCTCGACGGGGATCGATCCTCGGGGCCTGCTGTCGGCGAAAGGTGGCGGCGCAGCGATGCGGTGGTTCGCTGGCTCGCGGGAGGCCAGAGAGTGGGCCAGAACGGTTACATGGATTCACAGCATGCGCGCGCACATATCGCATGCGCGATGCCCGATCGCGGGTCCATCGCAGTCACATCATGACAAGACAAGACAAGTGCGCGTCCAGGCACATCGTCACCGTCCACCGTTCACCTACGATCGACCCATTGTCCTCTAATTCCAAGCGTCTAACACCCGACCCCCTGGCCCTAAGTACTACAACTTCGGGAGGCCATATCTTCGCCGTTTCTTAACAGAATCGGGCGTTTAAAAGCTCGTTGGAACCAGGAAGCTCTCAATAACGTCCCCAAAAAGTCATTTAGCCAATTACGTAATTACCACTCCAGAAATGTCAAATAAGCCGAAACCCCAAGTAGCCACGTCACAATACTCCCCCCTTGGGGTAGCTTTCGCCCCCGAAAGCACACTATCCCATACTAGTGTCTTCCTCGGGCTTGTCCCTCTTGATCATCTTCTGGAGCTCTCTAGCGTAGGTAAAATTTCTTGCCGGTATCCAGGAGGCATCGTCAATACTCCACCCTGTCCATAATAGAGGTGGCCACTCAAAGGTGCCATCCGGTCCGTTGAATCCGGTTCGTTAATTTTATCAGCTGTCCGTTAAATTTCGTTAAAAAAAGGGAGAAAATTTCAGAAAAAACAAAAAAAATCCAAAAAAATCGAAAAAAAACCAAAAAAATCACAAGAACTGCGGCTAGTTGAAAATCTAGTATGCATAGGTTGAAATAAAATACAAACATACTCTCTAATAGCGAATTCCATAAACTATAAGTATGACTAAAACACAAAAATCCCCCAAAAATCCAAAAATCCGCTAATTTTTGGTTAATTTTTATCTTTTTTCGTTATTTTCCGTTAATTAACGGAAAATTAACGGAAATTAACCTCTGTCCGCTATTAACGGATCCGGGTGGCCACCTCTATTGCTGGCCCATGGGTACTCACGGAGCTGCCCGAGATAGTGATGGGCATTGCTCCGATTTCGCACCATAGGGCCTCTCCTACCCGGCCCTTGAGTTGAACGCAACGGTCGCTAAGCGGTGGAGTTGCCCCTCGTCATGATGTGGGGGATGGGCTCTCTCTGGAGATGGCACGAAGGCCTTTGGTTATTGCTGCTTTGAATGTGCTTCCGCGCTTGGGATGCTTAGGTGTGCATGATTACGTAACGGCGCCCTGGATGTTGTCATCTGTTCTGTGCCCCGATGCTGTAGTTGGAAGGCCGATACTGTCCAGTGACCCCCTTGGCCATACGGCTCCCTCTCAGGCCCCCCTCCTCCACTAGCCAAGGCTCTCCCGTACTAGAGTCCCTTGCCAGCACATTCTGGGCCTCATGGGGCACCAGCTTGTCGCAACCGATGGTCGCAATATTAAGCGATAATGCTCTCATTATTGGTGAACCGAGCAATGCATTAAACAAACTATTTTTTAGCGCCCCCGGCCCCCAATAGCACCCCCTTTGTGGCCATGTCACGTGGGGGGCCGCAAGAAAGGGACCCCCACTGTGCCATCATGTTCGGATGTTGAGCAATTCGGCTCTGGAACCCGCACCGAATGTGTCGCGCAGAACGGCACCCGGGGCCACAAGGCTCGGGACGGCCTCATTCCTGCAGCACGGCACCCGGCGCGGATGCGCGCTTCCTTCCCCGCAGCAGCCCTGCAGAAAGTGCGCGACCCGGGCCTCCGATTCTTGAGCACGAGGCCCCAGCGACCTGCAGCCCGACCGCCACAAACAGGCCGCCAACGAGCTGTGGCTCCTTCGTTGCCAGCTGATCATCGATTTGGGAATCGGAGGATCTCGTACGGGCAGGGAGCAGGTGGAAGATCGGCGTGTGGCGCGATGAGCGGGGAGAATGGCGGGACGCCGCCGGCACAGGTCTACCACATGGGCCTGGACACCCTGCGGTGGGTGGCGCACGCTGCTTGGCTTTTTGGTTCTGTGGAATTTGCTCTCCGGGGGCCACAGGCCCGCCTTGCACGGTGGGAAAAGAGTCTCGGGACAGTTGCTGGTGGGCAGGGGAATGCGCATAGTGCGGCGCGGTGGATTGGATTTGGGATTTGTTTGTCGATCCCGCTGTGTTTGCGCGGGATCGATGACGTGGATTGTCGGGCTGTTCGAAAGGAATGGGGTTTGAAGTCGAGGCGTTCGCAGGTGATGCGCGTGCCAATTTTGGGAGGGTAAGGAGGTTGGCCTGATCTGAAATGCCTTGCATTCCGCGTGAAGCCACAGACAGTCAAGTGGCGCGTGGGGCATTGCGTCACCGTGTGCATCGAACAGTGCAGAGTAGTTTCGGCCTGCCAACTTCTTTTGCCAGCGGAAGGACTCCGTTGCCCTTCAAAGCAATGCCGCTCTGCGTCCACGTGGCTGCCTTTCCCATGGCATATCTTATGTCCGCTCCTTGCACTGTTGCCTGTCCAGGCAAAGCCAGTGTCCGATGCCTTGTTGTGCTGGTGTGCCCCGCGTGCTTTTTGCCATGTCTGGCAAGGTGTTTAGCGAGGACTAACAGCGGAAAGAATTTTGTTTTGTTCTGGAGACGAGTCTGCCCGAATTCCCTGTCGCGAAGAAAGTAATGGGGTCCACGGGTTTTGGGCCCTGCTGCGCCAGCTCAACTTGTCTCTGCATGTCGGTTGGCTGCGGGCAGGGTCGACCGACGCGATTTGCATCGAAAGATACGTGCAAAGGTGGAGGCTGCAGTTAAGAAAGCTGTCCCGGAAGAAGAACGAGGGCTCATTTTGCTTAAGGTGATTGCCGATTTGATTTGTGTGTTTTTGGTTAGCGATGCTCAGCCAGATGAGAGCCTGCATGGGCTGCCAGCTGTGGGAGGGCGAACCCAATCAGCTCCCAACGGGGAGTCCTGTCAGATTCACAAGATTGATAAAGGTTGCTGAACAGAAATGATTGCCGTTGTTGTTGTGTTCACCAGCTCAACAAAGGTGATGGGCAGGGTGATGCCACCTAGTGATATGTGTTGCAGTCATTATTGTGCTGGGGACTTATTTTGTTCGTGTTGTGCACATATCAGTCCATTTACCACTGGTCTCTTCATCAGCATAATATTTCAGAAAAGGTGCACATCAATTCGTTGGTGCAGACATAGTCCCGCACAATGTTCGGCCTTGCCACGATGTTTTGAAGTGATTTACGACTGTCTGGGACTCGTGGCACCTTTTTGAGCTGAACCATCTGTCCATGCAGGGTGGAGAGGGCAAGCCTTATTATGACACCGACAATGAGCCTCTGTTTCGGTAAGCTCAGAATGCCCAGTTGAGTCCTTACTTTTAGTTTTGGTCTGTTTGGTTGTGGTTACGAGCCAGCATGTGGAACTCTGAATTCCGTGAGTGTCATGTTGGGCTATTTCCAAGACTACCTTGGGTAGTCTTGTTGTGCCAGATGATCTCTGATGAATACTCTTGGACCAATCTTTGGTTGGTTCAAATATTATTCAAGGCTGGACTGCACCAAGCTGTTACAACACACCAAGAGATGCGAACCTTGTCTTAGGTTGACCATTGTGTTTAATGTGCATTCTGTAAATGTGTTGGGTCTGTTGGGCTGCAATTAGTGAGCTGCAATCTGTTGACCTTATCTGCAAAGCGATCTCCATGTGTGCATAATATGTTGAATGGTCATTATGCTGCATGCATTTCAATATCATGAAACCAACCACAATAGCACTTTTCCAGAAGAGAATGCAAATCCATGTGAAGGGCGAACACCAGACGAAGTGGGCAAGAGAGTTGGTACTTAGTTTTTCAATACAAGTGCAGCATTTCACTGGTAAAGTGCTTTTGAAAATCACTTGGATTCAATTTGAAAGGTTCGCTTCAGAGAGCTACCTTTTTGGAACAGATGTGCCATTGGCTAGCTGTTGTGTCTCATCAAGTGGAGCTTTGGCCTCTTGCAAGGCACAATTGCTGGAAGATGGCCTTACATGCTGTGTGCAAGCAGGCAAGAGAGCTATTTCTTCCACCTCTTTGGAGTGGTCGAGAGCGGCTGGTATGGGGCAATGGATCTTGGAGAGGTGGGGACTTGGCATCGAATACTCAGGCTCTTCTGTTGTCTTTCAGGCGCAGACCTCCAAATTTTTGTGTGCATGCGTCAGTTGCTTTAGAGGGTGGCAAGTGGACAGGAGAGCCAGGCAATACAATAATGAAGTGATTTGTTGCTGAATCTGTACTCTTCACAGCAGTTGTATTTTGGCGGCGCTTCCAGTGCTGTAACTAGTATGTACTCTGCAGTAGTAAAGATATTCTGCTTGCAGTGGTATTTGGAAGTTGCAGAGTGATGTCTCCAGGTCAGCGAATGCAATGCAATGTTGTGATTCAGCAAATGCAGAAACCAAGGCAACTGCTCAAATAGGACTGGGATTGCACCTGGACCATTGCATGTGAAGCAGTATGTGTCGTAAGCAGCATCTGCCCTGGAACTGCTAACAGTCTACCATGGCCGTGTCCATGATCGAATGCATGAGATAATATACGTACCAAGGACTCTAAACCACAAGATTAAATGAGAGCAAATCCACCCGTAATTTGGCTGTTTCTTTGCTCAGTACTGTACACAATAAGGAATTCAGTTGAGCCCCAGAAAAGTTTCTCCTGTTGTTTGTTATTGCAATGATATGCTTTTGCTACACGATTATGCTAATGTAATATTTCTGTTGCAGGGCACCACCATCTTGTTCATTCCCAGGCTGCCTGAGTCTCACGCAGTGTGGATGGGTGCTCTGAAAGAACCAGAGGAATACATTGCGCAGCTGGGCGTGGATGAGGTGTATTATGTTGATGAGCTGGTGGAATGGCTTCAATGGATTGCACCCAAGTGCCTACATGTGATGGAAGGGACAAACAGTGACAGGTAAGAAATGTGGCCATGCAACCATGGCTGCAGTCACGTTGAACCTAATAGTTTAAAAACAAATGTGAGGGCAGTGTTTGTCAAGTGAAGTCAATGGGCTTATGTGCACCTTGGAAATTGTGAAGCCTGTGTGTCCTTACCACGTCAGATGACAGCTTCGTAGATAGCTGCTTGCAGTGACACATTTGGCAGATCTTAATGATAGGAACTTTCAAAATTGAGTTTGATCGCATTTGAAGTTAACCACACACTGCCATGTTGCATCCATCGTTGCATGCACACACAGCGTGCAGTAAGCGCGATGAAATGTCTTCCATTTGCCACATGACCGTATTCCCATCTCTTTCCCTCTTCTGCTTTTGTTGGTTTTGCAGTGATTTGCACAGCACCTGAGTTTTCTGGTGCCCTCCTTGTTCTTTTAGCACGTGCACTTTTGTGGGCCTCTCCACCCTTGCAAGATCCAAGCATATGTCTGTTCCCCTTGCATCATTTTCGCGTTGAGCCAGTGTGTTTGCCACTCCAGTTTCTGAAAGGGGATGTGTTGCCTCCATGTTGTTCAGCGGAAACGCCTACGCACCACTAACATTTGATGGCATCGACAACTTTGTGCTTGAGAAGACCACCTTGTTTCCAATTCTCTGTGAATCCCGCGTGGTGAGACAACCTTCCAAGGCGGAGACTTAGAATTGATCTTTGGGGGTTTGTGTTGGGGTGGGGGCCTTGGAGCTTGTGTGTCAAATCGAGTTTTAGCAAGCCAGCGATCAAGATTTCCCAACCAACACATCAATAACAAAGGCTGCTGTGTCTGCAGTGCTGTGAAACGGAGGCCCCACGTGCAGCTCGAAACAATGTTTTTCTCTAGATTTGTTGCCCAAAGAATATGCCGCCCCTCAGAGAAATGTTGCACTCCTTTGTTGTGAATGGAGTCATTCCCTTGGAACACCAGGCTGCTTCAGGCAACAGTGGTGGGCCAGTACCCAGCAGAGGTGGGCCAGTATGAAAGGTAGCAATCCCCTTTCAAGCTGGTGGTATGGTTCCCTGGGAATGTGTGTGTGAGACGGGTGCTTTTACGGATAGTGCACGGCTGATACCTGTACAGCGCAATGGTTTTCATATTCCAAAACAGCACATCATGGTGCTGCAGATGCAGTGGTACGTTATCTTGGGGAAGGAAGCAGCTCCTGCTGGGCCAAAGTGGTGTCATGTTGTGTTGATGCCCCCTGCTAGGGCTTGCTGAGTGAATAATGTGGCTGCAAGTGCCCTCCCAAGCACAAAATGCTACATGTGCAGTATTTGAAATAAAACACAAGCACGCAGTATTTGCCGAGACTGCTGCTTCATGCTTATCAGCTGTTCATAAGACCCATGGACATGCAACTAGTAACCCATTTGGGAGATGGTTTCGAGGCTGTGAGCTTGTTTAAAGATCGACTGGCACCTGACAGAGGCGCAATGCATGTTGATATTTGGATCTGATTAGCAACAACATACGAATGAGCACTATGTCGCATCCCGATTCAAGAGCAAGATGGCTTCCTGCCGTGCATATTGGCCAATGGCAAATCGACATGCGAGTGTAAATAACAGCAGCTTGCAATAGCAAACCTGTAGGATGCCGCTAAAAGACTGCTGCTTAAACCCATGCAGGTGTGCTTCTGTTGTTTGTGACTGCTACCCCTTTCGTATGCTATTGCAGCCATCCATTGCCTTGGCAAGCTGACCAACCACCCAGGTCTTAATCATATTCTACAAGTCAGCACCCGTGTGTGTAGATTGCTTCCTGTGTTACACAGCAGTCATACACGAATGTGGTTTTCCACTTTTGAGTCCATCTTTTGCCTAGGATTCTGTTCTATGCATCTGTCCTACAAAGTAGGACAAAAGAAGTGCAACAGCCGCTCATTCCACTTTCTGTGAGTGACTGAGGTATATATCTTCCAACATCTTGTTTGTCAACTTGCTACTATCAAGATGGTGCAGAGAAAGTACAATGACATTTGTTCCTAATCTTATGAGCTATCTGAGATCCAGCGTTGACTTCTTGCAGATTAAGCTGCCAGAGGAGCAGGCGATCATGCGCTATGCCAACGTGATTGGGTCTCAAGCGCATGTAGCCATGATGCATGCGTGCCAGCCTGGGATGATGGAATACCAGCTGGAGGCCACATATCTTCATCACTGTGAATTTCATGGTGGCTGCCGCACGGAGGCATACACATGCATAGCTGCTTCTGGGCCCAATGGCGCAGTGCTGCACTATGGTCACGAAGGGGCACCAAATGGTAGGACCTGAAAATTCATTGCAACAAGAAAAGAAAGTTTTGTGCGATGGATGGATACTTCCCACAGAGCCCAAAACTGCTTGAATGACTCTTTTCCATGCTTGGGAGGACTATGTAAAAGGTTCTAAAGGGCCTTGTTAGGTGCCTTCATTGCCCATTGTTACCATTTTGTGATTCAAAGCATCTTGCAGCATGTTATCCTTGATTTGCAGCATCCATTGGGGCTCGTGTAAGCTGGTTGCTTGGGGTCGGGCAGCGGGCTAATGCCCTGGGTTTATGGAGTGAGTACTTTGGCAGGTGATTGCAGTCCAGTTACTGTCCTGCCTCTTGAGAAGCTTGTGCCTTATGGGCAGCGACATATAGCAAGGTGGGGGTGTGTGAAAGAACCATGAATGCCTGTACCATTGCAGGCAATGTTAGAGTGACACTGTGGTCCTGACATGTGTGTCCACTGAACTCATAACAGCAGAGAGCATCTGTATTTCAAGTGGTCTTCAAGGGCCCACAATGCTGGGCAAGAAGGCACACCAACTCCATGCTGCAAAAGCACACAAAATAGATGGCAACTTAGCCAATGTCTGTTTTCAGCCCAGGGAGCCAGGTCTGCAGGAAAAGAGTTCTGAGCTGTTGCGGTGCAAGTGTAGAGCTGCATTCCCAATGGCCATGCTTCATGTTTTTGTGGCGCAAAGAGCTTAGCCTGACTGTGTGATGTGTGCGTGGCTGGGCACCAGACAGGCTGATCAGTGATGGCGACATGGTGCTTGCAGACATGGGCTGTAAGTACTATGGATATGACTCAGACATAACTACCACCTTCCCTGTGAATGGGAAGTTCACTCCAGATCAAAGATTGGTGTATGAGTCTGTGCTGGATGCCAGCGAGTCGGTGAAGGCTGCTATGAAGCCAGGCGTATCTTGGCTGGTATGTGGAAATTGGGCTTGGATGGCTTGCTGTTGGCGATCCCTTCTCATACCAACTTCCTTGTTTTGGTGGATGTGTGACACGCAGGCACGCTTGAACGAAATGCCTCTCTTTCTGTATTGGATTGGCTGAGTATTGCCCATTTCTTACAGTTAGACGGCTATGTTTAAGTTTAGTTGAAATGGAGCCCAATTGTGTTATCTTGACCATGTTTGTGTCTCCATTCTTCACAAATGCTTTTGCATTGTAGACACACGTGATGATCTTGATTGTATTGAGGACGAACTGCAAGTGAGCTGCCAGCCGCCTGCACAAGTGGTCATCTGTGTTGAAGCCAGCTGTGTGCGGATTGTGTTTCTGTTCTTTTAAATACTGTGTTTTTTACTTTATGCTTGAAGTACAATGAGGAACTTTTAGGTGGAGTCTTGAGGAAGTACAACCCTAAGGCGGGTGAATGACTTCAAGTCCAACGTTAAAGCACAATCCAAAATAGGTCTCTAGGCGCAAGAATGCTTGCTGCTTGTTGATCGATGTCCCGCTGTGCCATGTCCACTCACTCGTAGCACGATTAATGGGTCGTTGCAACACACCATAGAGAGCATGGGCTAACCTGTAAACACAGGCATCTCATCCAATCAATCACACACATGGATTCTCCTGCTCTAAAGCTTGCCTTGGCTAGAAGCAGTGACTGAATGCATCCATTGCTTGCATTGCTAAGAGTGAGAAATTATAAATGGCCATGTGTCTCTGCTTAGATCGGTAGGTGGCATCAGAATTTCTGGCAATCTTCAAGGACCTGACAATGGCTTGCCAGATTCTTCTCATTAGAGACATATGCAGCAGGCACCTTCTTCCTGGTGTATTTGCATAGCTACTTTGAGCTACTACGTAGTATGTTGTTATCAACGTTGATAAAGTTGCTGCCACTGTTATTGTGTTGTTGTCTTGAATTTATTCGATTCATTGCACTCACCACCAGCATAACAGTGCACTCGCACTTTGCGGGCGATGGCCACCAGACCACGTGCGGGTTGTGGCCTTTTGACCTGCCACTGTTGCCAGTGGGAAAAGTCCCAGAAAAGTTCCATTTTATGGATATCCTGTGTCATGTCCCAGGCGCGCATGGGAAAACAACCAAGACCATGTGACTTTGCTGCTGAAATGTATGCTGTGCTGTGCAGGACATGCACAAGTTGGCTGAGCGCAGAATACTCGAGGGCTTGAAGAAGGGCGGCCTCTTGACTGGGGATGTTGATGAAATGCTGGATGCATTTGTTGGTGGGGTATTCATGCCTCACGGTGAGCTCTCTGCTTGAGCTTCGAACAAGGCGTTTCCACAGAAAATTATTGCAGCGATCAGACAACTACCAATTTGCCATTCGCCCACGAAGCCCATTGATCCCCAGCTTGGGATGTAGTTTGTTTATCATGGATGACACGTCTTCTCACTGCACAGCACGCAGCATGACTTGTGGTTGCTGTGTGCCATCCCAGGCGAATGTGATGCTTGCGCTGTAGTTAGGACGTCGAAATAGAAGTACTAGCAATAATAGCATATGAAGCACATGAGCAGCAGCACATGCACCTCGCCCTATTTCTGTTCTTAGCAAGCTGTGTGCAGATCTGCATCCATGATGTTGTGTCAAATGAAATGACATAGCTGCCCTTGCAAGTGTTGTGTGATACCAGGCACTGTCCATGTTCTTGAGTGTGCATTCCCACAGTGGCTATTCCCCAGCACTGTGTGCAGTACAGTTTGACGGCGCCTGGTGACAAGCCTGCTTCCCTAGGGCCCTGTGTCCCCCAGCAGCTTACCTATTTCACTTGTTCTTTACTTTATTTAGCATCGCCATGGATACCAAAGGACTGTGTACAGGGCTACGCTACCTACAGGGCAATGCTTTGGGTCAGGAGCAGTGGGGCTGTGGTGCGAACATTGGCAAGATTGCGACTGACAGTGTCTGTTGTCAGTTGCGACATGCTGTGGCATGTTGGTGTGGTGGGACTGTGCATAGGAGCAGGTGGCGATCCCTGTCTGCATTCGAGGAAGATAACTTCTTGAATTCCCGCAGCAGAATTTGCTGAATGGTGGCATCACAGTTGTGTGGATTTCGGCGGCAGAATTCGCTACCTACTTGCAACATAGTTCGCTGCATCTTCTGCCTGAATTTGCTGAATTGTGCCCACACAACTTGATGTAATTGCTGTCAGAAGCATCAAAATGCAGTTAATCAAAAAGCATCCGAATGCAGTCAAATTGGCGTATAATGATTAAATCTTTATGTCCCACATGTGATGGCCTGCTTTGCGATGTACTAACCACAGCAGCATAAAGTGCTACAGAACGGTGACAAACGGTCCAGGGGTCGCTTCGACTGTCAGGGTGCCTGTTGCTGTTTGACAGGTCATATTTGTGCACTTCGTCATAACCTTTGAAATATGCAGCTGAATTGTTGTGCAGGTCTTGGTCACTTCCTGGGGTTGGATACGCATGATGTGGGAGGGTACCTGGGCAGGCCACCACGTGTTGATGAGCCAGGAAGGAAGAGCCTGCGGACTTGTTGGTGAGCTATTATAGCTCTTGGCCGATGCCTTGAGCATTGCCTACCTCTGCAATGACGAAATATTGAGGGTTAATGGTTGCCTAATCTGCAAAATGCCTTGTTTGGCACTGATGAGCCACACAAGCGATGCATAACTGGCACCTGATTGGGGCAAGCAGTTCCATTGCTGACATCTCAACAGATGGAGCAAGCCTGTGTGCTTTCAAGAGAGCTGACATTTGCAGTTCCACATCAGCATCTGTCCCTGAAACGCTGGATGTCTTTTCTGATAGTCTTTGTCCCAGATTTCCTGCACAAACCCCAACTTGTATTGGCTTGATGAGCCTTTAAATGCGGCATGTGTGTTTCCCGATGGGATGCCCGTGCTTCCAAAGCCAATTTCTGTGTGGGAGAAAGCACATGAGAATAGAGGCGAGGTTGCACAGAAGCCTGAGCTTGCTGGATTGCTGCATTCACATCAAGTGTGCAAACGAGAATGGGCTGTGGGCATTGACTGAGGGGTTGTGTGCTGGCATCCAGTGTGTTGGAGGAGGGAATGGTGATAACGGTCGAACCTGGCTGCTATTTCAACCCGTTCCTGATCACAGGCGGCTTGAAGAATCCAGCCATCAAGGGCTTCTTTGTGAAGGACCGCATTAAACACTTTGAGGTGGGATTGGGGCTATGCTGCTGCTCTCGTTGATGGATTACATGGACAATGTTGCTTTGGTTATATTTCCACGTGGGCTGTGCATTTCCTTGCGTTCTTGTGAGGGGGCACATGCTCACATATCATGATGCTCCACATCATCTGTGTTAGAAGGGGGCGGCAAGGGGGCTGATGGGATATGTTTAAAACTCTGAAAGGACACCAGCAGTGTCATGCCCGTGTTGTGTACCTGCCAATATCCAAACCCACAGCCTCGAATGCCATACTCTGCACAGGGATGGCGTTGTCCCACTACAACCAAGGGAAAGAAAGGCCAAAAGAAAAGAGATTAGCCCCGTGCGGGAGAAGATTGACGTGTACATTGGGCAAAATGGCACAGGCGTCTGCGTTGAGATGCTCGTTTGCAGTATTGAGTCCCAAACAGTGAAGGACACCCTGTCGCTCAAGAATGGGTGTGGGTGTGGGTGTTTTTGTGTGTCATGATATATTGGAGGAGCCCGTAAGCGGATCATACATTGGATCGCCTCCATCCTGCTCAAGCATGCAGTGCACACTGCCCCACCTGGCAGCGCTGAAAAGGGCAACCGCCTACAGGCATGAGATCGAAAGTGGGATGGATGGCATCAGTGTAACAAGCAGCAACAAATCCCACACAGGCATAACCAGCAATGTCCATTTCCACGTATCAACGCCCACCACTGGGCCAACGTTTCCCTCAAGGAACTGCAGCATGGTTGTGTGTATTGTTGCTAATTAGATTACACAAAGTTACCACATTGTGGCTTGTCTTGTCTCCAACCTGTGCAAGTGCTCCATCTGCAAGCAACCTCCGTGCTTCATGTCCAATTTGGGGCCCGCCTGCAGGTCCGAACAGTTTGGGTTCGTGCTTCGACCATGACACCCATATTTCCTTGAAGGAACTCCCGTCGATGCTGGAAAATGTTTGTCAATGGTCGGCAACGCACGTGAACGTCAAAAATGACTGACCGTCCTTGTAATCGGACCTGATTGTGATGTTTGAATCCAATGCAGCGTCGTTGGAGAGCCACGTTCGCTGGCCCTCCAGCGTTCAATTGCGCCACCCGCTGCACATACAATGCTCTAGCACGCGGGCCGTTTCGTTCACCAGCCGTTCTATTCATGTTTAGCGTGCAACCGTTGCTCTGGGAAGATCCATCCGGTCCTGAATCGTACCCCCATTGTCAGGGTTCGTCCATAACTGATTTGGCCTTTCGTTTTGCCTGTTTTTTGTACAATGTGTGTTATTGACTGTGCTGATAGTGTCACGTTTGTCAGCCATATTCAGGACTTTAATGGCAAGGGTGGAACATGGCACCGAAAACGTGATAAAGAGTGCCAATTCTCTTCCATTTTGTACCACTTGAATGGCCAATGCAATATTGGTTATGCATCAGTAATGCGCAATGTCCAGGAATTAAGCACGAAATTACGCAGCGAATGATTTTGTGTTGAATCGCCTTGTTCTTTTATGCGAGCATTGTGGTTGAATCAATCACGGGCCCTTCCAAGGGCAACCAGTGGGTGCCATCCGCTAGGACAAAACTCCTTTCCGCAGTGACATGGACAACGTGAATAATTGAACAACTTGTTTCCGGGAGCCCATTTTCGTGCAATTTCTTGCGTCGTTGATGGACGCCCAGGCTTGTGCTTGCACAGGGCTTTGGCGGAGTGCGGATAGAGGACAACGTCATCGTGACGTCAGACGGAATCGACTGCATGACGAACGTGCCGCGGACTGTGGAGGACGTGGAGAAAGTGATGGCGGGCGGGTCCTGGCCGTGATGCCCTGCGGGGCGCTTTCACAAGGGCAGAACAGGCATTGCCATTTGTAGAAACATTAGTAGAGCAGAGCACTAGTGAGTGCTAGGGGTTGTACCAGAATTATCGGAATGGTGCTGCATACGAAGCAGAAGTAATGAGCATCGCTTGCAGCCCCTTTTTTTGTTGGACTTTGCCAGGTCGTCTTGCTGATGCCGGACTGTTTGTTGTTCTCGAATGTTATTGGAGGACTGACACGTGCTGGGCGCCGTCGTGGCGTAGATAGTGACGACGACTGTGGCGTTTGTCGTCGTTGACGAGATGGAACTGCTTGGCTGCAGACATGCTGTGACGCTAATGGCTTGCTTTCTTGCAGATTTATGTGGCAGAGATGAGATCGGTCTGTGGCGTTTGTGAATGTGCAACAGAATCAAGGCACGTGCTGCTTTCTCTCACTAGCATTCGTTGCTGAAACCATGTCGGCCCATGATTTGGAAGAGAGCCAGTTCCGACGTGTTCACGCGAAAAAGGAGGCAGAATGCCCCTACGTGTTACGCGGGCGGTGTTCCCTGTCTGCGAATGGATGCTCTCTCCGCCCCAAGTAATGCACAGTTGTGTGGCCACTTTGATGAGTCCAATGCAAGTTCGCCAGGTGTTTCCTGCAAGGGTAGTTCGGCTGGGATCTGCCCACAGCTGTGTCCAGGACGCCAGCCGATGGTATCACCAGAAGGCCCCTTGCCGCCGTCTTGGGCCTCCAACAAGTTCAAAGTTGGTTTTGTGGCGGAACTGCACAGCATTGCGCGATACAGCCACGAATCGTAGCCTACGATACGGTTGCCAAACAGGCTGGACCCCAATCTGCCAGCAGAGCCCAGCAGCTGCCAGAAACTCCCTCTGCCCCACGCCTGTCGACGTTTGCAGCCATCTCCGGCCCAATCCGGCCGGTCCGCGACAGGCGAACCGAAAAGGCGGCGGGCTCCCCTTCCCCGCTGTGCCCTGGCTGCCCTCCAGCAGAAACCAAAGAAGCCAGGGGAATCGATCAGGTCGAAAAGGCCGGAAATCCGAACCCTGCAAAAAGGCGGGGGAATCCAACATTCAGCAAGAAGCTGGGGAATTTAACGGTTAGAGAAGGCCTGGGTTCCAATCTGTGGGGTCGGGATGCCCAAGGCCAGCCGCCCCCTTTCAGGGTACTTCTATTTCGTCCGGGAGCACAGGGCCGCGGTCGCGGAGGAGCTGAGGGCGGCAAATGGGCCCGACGGCAGCGTGGCGATGGGGGAGGTGGCCAAGGCGCTGGGGGCGGCCTGGAAGGCGCTGTCGGAGGAGGAGCGGGCCAAGTACGGCGAGTTCGCCAAGAAGGAATTCGAGGAGATGAATCGGAACCAAGCGGAGGTGTGTGGGCATGCTCGCTGTTGCTGTTGTTGATGGGTTGGCGGGGAGAAAATGCACGGCCGGCTGAAGGGCCCGTCTCTCTGCTGAAGGAGGAGCGCGCGAAGTGCGGCGAGGAGGCGAGGCAGGAATGCGAAGACCTTCGGGAGAACCGGCCTGAGGTATGTTTCCGCGCCGCTCATCGACTTGCAGGGAAATTTCGCGCCATTGGTCAATTGGCACGACTTTGTGAACCAGATCATGAACCAGAGCCAGTCATTCGAGCGGTCTACCTCGCGAAAGCTCGCGGCCAGCGCCTTAAAGCGTTACTGCCTCCTTAGCCTGCAAGTAGATCTCAGACTGGTCCAGCGGCTGTGCACCCGTCCCCGAGTGTTGCCAGTCGTGCATGCAATCTGTTTCCAATTTTGCCTGCTCGATAAGTGAGCGTAAGAGCGCCTGATGGGTGCAAGGGCAATGCTTCAGCCCGTCTTTCCACAACCGTAGCAACCAAGTCGATTGGGGGAGGGGGAAGGGCAGGCGATGATAGGTGGTGATCTGTTGGTCGAGCGGCTGTGGGTAGGCCTGAAAGTCATGGAAGGGTGACTAGGGTAACCTGTTTGCTTTGATTTGCCAATCTGTGCCAAAGCACCACACTTCCAGCTTCAGGACGATGATGAGTGACGGGCAAGGAGGGGTGTGGGCAGGAGAACGGTGCTAAACATGCCTTGGGAGGAAGGAGCAGCGGCCTTCTTTCTCATCACACAGAAACAACGAAACGAAGAAAGGGAGCGTGTCTTGCATTGTGCATCACCTTCTTGCAACAGTTTTGGTGGAACTGATTTCCATGCTAGAGGACGATGGAATTACAGTCTCCAGGTGGAAGGGGGTTGGCAAAGCAGAGCAGCATCAATAGCCAAAAGCGTAGATTCAATGGTGGGTGGGCAGGTTGCTGGTGGGTTTATGGTCAATTATGCACCCCCTCGCACATCACAACCACGAAAGATTCAACACTGCATCAGAACCCTCCCTTTTGCCTGATTGAAATGCATGGAAAGCTCACAGGAATGAGGAATTTTGGGTGCCTCCTTTGTGCAGAGATTCACAAAATTCGTTGGTCAAGAGACTGGCCCACAGTGTCAAAGGTGTCGTTTCGGTTCAAAAAGCGATCTCCATTTCTCCCAGGAGTGTTTTGGGGCATAGTCGTTCCTAGCAAGCATTGTAAGATCCACCCAGATCGGTCACAACTTATCTTGTCTGATCGTCTGAGTTGAGGGACATGTGGCATGGCCAGTGTGCTGCTTCCCACGTTTCTTGTGGGGACACATTCAGTCCTGACTGTATTGGGTTGTAAAGAACGCAATGTATCATCAAAACTGTAGGGGCTGTACAAATGCTTATTGGCCATTGTTGTCAGAACACGGCAATTCGCTGGCCTTCCAATTATTGGGCTTTGTTGGGAGACTGTAATAACGTGCCAGAGGGAGTTGTTTTCCTTACTCCTCTCTTTCCTCCTTTGGAAGAGAATGTGAACAAGCGCGTGGTTGCAAACTGTGTCACAGAACACAGAGTCCATGTTGAGACTCTCTGCTTCTTCCTGATGTGCATAACCAACGATAAATGTTCAGCCCAGGCCCAGGACGGCGTAATAATCATAGTGAGCTGTGTGCCACTGGTGATGTCAAACGGGGCTTGCTTCAGCATCCAGCTCGAACCTCAAGGCTTTCGGTTGCCAGTCAAGGGCAGGTGGCATAGTGCTGGCGTTTGGAACAGCCTTTATGCTGCTGATCAACAACACGTCTCACCGTAATGTCTGTGTCATAAAGTTGTGCACTTCCATTTGGTCTTGGCGACTTCAGCTTCAACTTTCACAAACACAGGACGAATCTTGCACACCCCAAGGCTTGGGAGGGGATTGCCAAGACTCATTGTAACAAGAGAGAAACATGTCATCCAATGGCGACCCCCTCCTTAGCAATGATGGTGAGACTCTATTGCATGCTGTGAAAGATAAAGCAGAAGTGCTCATAGGCTGGGTGAAAACACACATTGCCATTCCGGATGTATAACAACAGGGAGGCAGGAGCAGCTGAGTGACGTGTTTGCTTCTTGCCACCATCAATCCCCAAAGTAGCGCTCAAGACTACACACATTCATGTTGTTCTTTATGGTGGTTGCTAAGTTGTCCCAATTGCACTCAGAATGGATTCATGCATTCTGAGCATGCCATAAAATTGAATGCATGAAAATGTACAGTCTGAGCCCAAGAATGAATGGGATCCCGGGATGATGCAGAACAAACGAGCCACACTGAATGTATCGCTGTTGAACAACATGTTTACAGATGATCAGTTTATGCCAGTCCAGGGATTTGTTTGGCATATGCAAGCCTGTCATGCCATGGGCATGGTGCCCAGAAACTTGCATTTTTGTTGTTTTCACAGGAAGCAAACGAGTCTTGAGAATCTTTCTCAGGAGGGTGGCACTCACAGCCTAAATGTGCATGTTCTTGTCTCTCTAAAGGTGGCTGCCCCCAACCCTGTTAAGAAACAGCTCCTTTTTTGGGATTATGGACGAAAACCCTGTGGTCGATCTCCCATCCTGTCACCCACAGTACTTCATCTCTGCAGATAAAGCCATGCATCTCCACGTCACAAAGAGAGCTGCGAAGAGCAGGAACGAGACAAGGGATTCACAGATTTTGGGAGGGGGGGGGGGGGAACAGAGCATGAAGTCAACTGTGGATGCACAGTGCACTGACTTGCAAAGCTGTGAAAAATGCATTCATTAATGATTCACAGAGGAACGTGTGCGCACAGGACTATGGTCTTTGCAGACCGATGTAACAGCTGACGCAGTCTGCTGATCTGAACTCAGCAGAGACACATAACATGACCCATGTACCGTTGTTCACATTGCTGTGTTCTATTCATTCATTACCGAACTAAGCAAGATTGTTCACTCTTGTTGTGTCTGTGTGTGCGGTGGCCTTCATCGACAAGGATGCAGCCACAACTAGGTGCGTCTGTTGCCTGCTGGCAATCCGATCAATTGCTGTCATCAGGATTCAATATTTCTAAGGCATTGCTGTCCTTGCATTGTTCTGTGCAGTGGCCAATATCCCCAGCTCTTCACCTCAAACCAGGATGGAACTTGAAGATTAGGTGGCGATGTAGTTTTGGGAATAGCACAGACAGAATGATTGCAACTGCCACAATGGAACACAGCACACTGGGCATGATATGTGTCTGTACTGAGCACAGATGAACAGTGTCAGTTGCGTGCTGTTCACAAGGATTTCACTGTGCTTGTTGAAAGCCCACCTGGACCCTCAAAACGTTTCATAAAGATAGAAAGTCATATCCAGCCATCCAACTCCTGCTCACTGTAAAGCACTACTTGCAGAAGTTTGCTCTGCATAACAAATGGTGGAATTTAGTTTTCTTTGTGAACTGTGTGCAGCATCTATAGTTTCTTTTTTTGTTTGCAATGAACATTCTCAGTGAAAACAGTGTTTTATGTCCCAACCTGCATGAACACATTTCTAAGTTGGCCATGAGAGACTCTTGATTTCATCATGGTCGCTCTCACCCCTGTGGACCCTGACTTGATCGATGTGTACATTTATCATGTAGTGAACACTGGACATTAACAGATCGACAGCAAAGGCTACTTTGACTATGGACCTTTGAAACAGACACCTCACACACAACCAAGAACAGCATCTGGCACTGCAGTACCCCATAGAAGTTGTAATGGAGAGAACTTCGGTCAGTACATCCATTTGACAGTGCATCACTGTGCCAACATGCTCACAAGGCAGAAACTGCTGGACTCGCTCATCATCCCCTTGTTGGTGCAGGTGTTGTGGTGTGTTGTACTTTGACTGATGTTTTATGCAATGGTCTCTAATGGCTACACAGATTCTTGAAGAAGAAAGAAAACATGTTATGAAATTGCCAGACCATGACAAGTAAAGAAGATTTCAAAGGAGAATGCCGAGATTTGGCTGCAAGCCAAGACATGGGTCATGAGTTAGTTGAATGGAGCAGCACAGTCGCACATCAACGTTCCTTGTGTCGCCAGTGGTTAAATTACGGGCCACAATATGATGAATGTCAGTGCCACAGTTTACTGTATAGCAATTGTGACACAGGTGGATTGTATGGGGCCCTTGCTTTTGCAGTGGTTAGCTTAAAGACCTTGCTGCTTGTAGGAATGAAGATGGGCAGACAGAAGCAGCGGCTACCCACCTGCCGATGCATGTGGTCAAGGCGATCATGATGTGAGCCAGGGCAGTGTATTGCATGGAAGTTGAACAGCTGGGGAGCTGTACTTGTGAGTTGTATATTTGTTCACCTCTGATGGATATCTTCTCACTCCCCTTGTTGCCTGTTTTCTCAATCAGGGTCAATGACGATGTGAAACGCACAACAAAAGACGCTGTGATTGTGACCACACGGGCAACGGTGGGGCTCACCTGAGATGAACCCAACGATGCAAAGCACACTATCTGTTGTGGTTGCATTTCTTGCATGTTTGCCAAACTGCGCCCATCTGCCCTCAAGGCAACACAGGTTTTGACACTTTTGTTTAGCTGTTCTCTGTATGCATTTGAGTCTGTTTGTTCGATTCTTTGTGCTTGCCTCCCTAGTCCACTTGCTTTTTTGTTCATTTATGTTTTGTCACTGATGTGTTTGCAGCTGTGTTGTCACGTTTTCGCTTTGCTGATAGAAGGGATGTACACAGAAGAATAAAATATTTCTGCGGAATGGCAGGAGTTGTTCATCAACCTGCTTGTGCAGCAAGCACTACAGGCATTGCCAGCACAAAGAAAGACGATCAAGCTTGAGCAATTAGGTGAGCAGGCAGCAAGACCCTCTTTTTTTCCAGGGAGCCCATCGCATAGAGGATTGAAATTTGGAGAAAAAGATCAGTGGGCACATTACTGAGGCCTCAAGTAATTAACATCATCACAGGGCTGGGTGTCTGCCAAGCACTGCCTGCTCCCATACCTTGTCAGAAAGAAGATTTGAGGGAGGCGATCTCTTGCATAATATCGGCCTTGCTGCCCTAGTCACAGAGAATGGGCATTGGCGCTGGCCATTGCGGGAATTAACACCACCTGTCCCAATGTGCAGAGACTGCCATTCGCCGGGAGCAGCGACTCAAGAACATCGGGTGCATTGGTACGCTGGCTGGGGCTGCTGCATGGCAACTTCTTGTGGTCGAATTGACCCAATCGGTGGACGTTCACAATGTTTTCAACAGCAGAATGCTGTGCTGATTTTTTAAAGGACATGGCAGCACCGATGATAACGATTAAGTCCACAGGGTGATGGTT